ATAGCATAATGGTTATGTTGCAGGACTCCCATGCAGTTGACCATGGTTCGAGTTCTGGAACCAGCAGCTTAAAACTCATGCCAGGTACTTGTGCATGCATGCCCAAAATCTCAAGAGGAGAATGGAGGGGAAGGGATTTCAGCTAGCCATCCCTCCTGGGAGGTGATTTCTTGCTTTTTGTGTCTCTGTCTCTCTGGCAAGCGTATGCACTTTATAGCAAAAATCTCCCTTTTAAGAAAAAAAAGTTTATTTTCTGATACATTAATGACCAATTTTAGGCCAACTTCTTGGGCTCTCAGGAACTTTATTGTGTATTTTTTTTTCCTTCTGGTTGTTTGCTTTTAAGATCAACAAATTAATGTAAACTGAAGTTTTTCCTACATTCAGATAAGCTGTATAAATGCAGCATGATATTAATACTGATGGTGAAAATGAAATTTTGTTGTGCTTCAGATGCAGGGCTTTTTATATGATGCCTAGAATGTCTCTTAAAATAATCTGTCTAAATATGCAGAGTTTTAAAATGTAAGTCTTATGAAGAACATTTATTTCTTCTATGTGCATATATTTAGCCTCAAGCCTTGGATATTGCTTTTGAAATCTAAAAGCTAGCTCATGGGTAAATAGACTTTATTCTTGTAAGCACCGGAAAAAAAAAGTGAAATGTGCTTATGCCTTCTTTTTAAAAGTGCTTTTATTCTTGAAATAAATGCTTACTGAAAATTTTTGGGTATTAGTATGTGGGAGATCATTTGTGTTTTATGTTGTTTCAGGGAAAAAAAATATGTGTTATGTAAAATAGGTGAAATGGCCAGTGATGATCTTTTTAATAGATACTTGCCTTGTGGTATTTTCCATTTTCCTTTGGGAATATTTTTCTCCAAAATGTCACAGTTACAGTTGGTCTTAACCTTGTGTAGCCTTTTATATTTATTTTGTTAGCTATAGTTTTAAAAGATCTGGATGTGGCGACTTTGTGACTTTAATCTTGCCTCTTTCTCCCAGGTTCCCCCTGGATTCATGAATAGGTAGATGAGATGGATATAAGTGAACAGCCTTATTATTTCTGCTTATGAATCAGTTGAAAGATCAAAGAACATTCAGTGGGTGCTTTGGAATCTTCTAGAGGTTTCTCATAGTCTTACCATTGTTATTACCCTGTGCAGATTTGTCAGCCTATTTCCTCTTGTCACTGAATTTGGATGTAGATTGTCAAAAGGATTGACTATCTCTCAACCCACTTTTAGTCCTTTTTAATTGTCCCTATGTGGATCACACAGAATAAGCCTTTCTACTTGTGACAGGAATTCACTTCACTTAAAGTCTGGCTGCCCTGAGGACATTTTGATAAGTGTACTGCTTCGTGGTCAGTATTAACTTACTCCTGTTCTCCTGGACCCTTAACCTGTCTTTGGTAAGGTCCTGGAACTTCAGAAGTTGTGATGTCTCTCAGGTATCTTGTCTGCTCAGGGTGTAACTTCACTACCGTATACATTAATAACTTCTGTTGTCATGGATTGTATAGTCCATTACTGCCAAGGGGGGATGTTTTAAATTTACATTTCTTCATAGTAAGTGAAGGTACAAAATTTTGGGTCATATTATTCTGGGTTAAAACACAGCGAGGGGCCCAGCCATTGGGGCACAGATGGCAGGGAATCACTTCATGATACTGAGATCACATGGGAAAGGTTCTGGGTTGAAACCCCAGGTTGATTTGAACATGCCTGGCTTGTCTGTGACCCTGGCTGTCTGGAAGACTGGGGAGGGGTCTGCAATGTAGATAAACCACATCTAGGATACCCATCTGTCTCTCAAGAAAGAAATTTTAAAAATGCAACGGGGAAGGTATTTAGTATTAATTGGGTCGTTGGAAAAGTCATGATGCATTTTTGCATAGAAATGCATTGAAAAATACATAATAACTTTTCCGATGACCTAGTAGTTTTTCAGTTATGAAATATTAGTGAAAGAAGTAAATTGAATGTTCAACTCTTCTTTTCCTTTCTGTTTACTAGAAAATAAGGTAAGAATGAAAAAGACAAAAGTGTCCGCTGAACTCTCAGCTGTTGCCTTTTCCCCATGGAAGGCTTGACTCCCTTATATAGCCCTATGCGTAATGTTTGACTGATTTCCAACTATTCTTTTTTGTTGTTGTTGGAGAGGTCTTTTCTTTTCTTTTCTTCTTTTTTTTTTTTTTTGCTACAGGGTATGTGCGCTTGCCAGAAAGACAGACAGAGAGACCAAAAGCGAGAAATCACCCTCTGAGGGGATGGCCATGCTGCAATCCCTTCTCCTCAATTCTCTTCTCAGAATCTTGGGCATGCACGCACACGCGCTTGGTGTGAGTTTAAGCCACTGGGTCTGGGACTTGTACGGCGGTCGACTACATGGGAGTTCAGCGACATAGCCATTACACTAACTGCTGGTCCCTCAACTATTCTTTAAGCCTCTGTTTAGATGTTATTTCTTCAGGGTGATTACCTTATTCCTGGACAGTATTACCTAAAGCTCTCTGCATAGTTGTCTTTATGTATACTGTAATATTCCAACCACTTATTCCAGTTATAAAGTCTTTAAGCTCTGTAATAACCAGAATCATATTTTTTATATTACTGTTTCAGTGTCTGGCATATGGTGATCCTGTAATAAACCTCTTAGGAATGAACTTGAAGAAAACCATGTTTGAATAACTTTATTTTGTATTTGTGTATGTTTGCATCTGTGTGCATGTGTAAGGATTTTGTATTTTTCTTACGTAAATGACATTAGGCTGGCATTTCACTTGATGTTTCAAAATTGAGTTTTAAAATTAACATGTAAGGTAAAAATTACCTTTCATTCTTCAAAATGCTGTATAGTAAGTACCATGTCTCAGTAAGAGACATCAAAGCCAGGTTGTTCCTTCCAGCTTCTAATGATAAAATTCTACTTAAATTTAGTGGTATTCAGTATCTCTATGTAGAGTTTTGGAGGGTCCTCCAGAAATAGGCTCTAATGTTACCTTCTAAAATCTTTCCAGCTGTTTATGTACCCTGGCTTTGGTGGAAATTTTTTTTTGGTTTCATTTTTCTTACTTGTATTTTCTGATTTCTACTCCTTTTTGTTTTCGATTTTTTTTTTTTGAGAGGTTTTCGCTATAGGGCGCGTGCGCTCGCCAGACAGAGAGAGACATAGAGACAGAAAGTGAGAAATCACCCCCCCAGGGGGGATGGTCATGCCGCAATCCCTTCTCCTCCATTCTCCTCTCGGGATCTTGGGCACGCACGCACACGCGCCCGGCGTGAGATTTAAGCCACCGGGTCCGAGACGCGAACCGCAGTCGGCTACGTGGGAGTCCAGCGACATAGCCATTACGCTAACTGCTGGTTCCCTGTTTTCGATTTTAAAACAATTATTTAATTTTATTCATCATCATCATCATCATTTTTAAAAATCTGACCAGAGAGAGAAAGAGGGAAAATGAGAAAGCAAGCCACCAGGTCTGTTACTCGAACCATAATCAGCCTTGTGGGAGTCTAGTACCTTAACCACCATGTCACCTCCCATCCCCTATATTCTACTCCTTTATTCATGCCATTCTCCTCCTCTAGAATACCTTGGCCTTTCTTTTTCTTTTTTTCTTCATCTTCAGGACTTACCTGACACGCTACCTGCCGTGACATATTTTTTTCGCTGGCCAACTTGGGGTATTTTCTTATTGTAAGTTATGATCTTCATTGCCCATGGCCGTTGGCAATAATTTTTTTTTTTCATTTGCTGACTGTTTTCTTGACTCTCTTTTTCTTTTTTCTCCCTATCTCCCTTCTTTCTTCCTTTTTTTTTTTCCTTCTGTTTTTGTATTTGTCTTTTCTAGTCAATGAGAGTGTTAGATTCCTGAAAACAGGGCTTTTTATCCTTTATTTGTTTTTTCAAGTTTATGCCAGGCATAAAGTTTATTAGTAAATAGTTGCTTAGTTAATTATAAAAAAATTGCCCTTCATATTTTATAGCATGAGTCCTGAAGAGGGTGCTTTGAGATTATTTTTTCCTCTGGTAAATTAAAAAAAAAAAAGCCAGAATAACTAGTTTCCTTCTCCATTTTTACTACTTGCACGTAATAGCTGACACTAAGGTATCAGAAAAATGTATGCATGTATGCAGGTAGCACAAGAAACTCAACCACAGATACCTTGTGGTTTAGGTTAGTACAAATTTTTGAAGGTGAAACATGAAATAAAATTTTACTAGGTGAGGAAAGGAATGTTACATGGTTTGGAGGAAAATATTTCATCTGAGCAGAGATTAATTTCTTTTAACCTATGCCTCTTCATTCCCAAAGTAGAAATAAAACCCAAAGGAAGATGAATTGATTTTTTTTTTTAACGTACTGGGTGCCATGTTTATTAATTAACTGACTTTGATTATATTCCTTTTCTAATGTCTTGAGTGACAAATTGTCTCCTTGCTGTATGGGTACAGAGCTACTTATGAAAATCTCTGAGTTTATTTATTTATTTATTTATTTTTTTTTTTGAGAGGTTTTTGCTATAGGGCATGTGCCCTCGCCAAACACATAAAGAGACATAGAGACAGAAAGCGAGAAATCACCCCCCAGGGGTGATGGCCACGCTGCAATCCCTTCTCCATTCTCCTCTTGGGATCTTGGGCACGCACACATGCACACGCAACCGGCGTGAGTTTTAAGTCACTGGGTCTGGGACGTGAACCACTTTCGAGTACATGGGAGTCCAGCGACATAGCCATTACGCTAACTGCTGGTCCCTCTGTAGTTGATTTCTCAAGATCTAGCTTTTGCATTATGGTTCTGCAATTAGGAATTGTAAGTAGGGATGAACATTTGATGTAGGGTGTTCAGAGTCCTAGTTTTCTTTTGTCATAGAAGATAAAAACCTAGTATTTCAAATATTTACTATTAGATGAACTATTTATCATACTGTTAAAATGTGAAAATGCAGATTACATTGGTATTTTAAGAGTCTTTGTTTCTTTCTGTTTAGGTACAAAGAGGATGGTGAAGCTTTATTAATTTTGCTTCCCTCAGAAGAAAAAGGGATGGTACAGCAGCTTCTCCAGAAGAAAGTGCCTGTGAAGGAAATCAAGTAAGATCTATTTCTTGTCTTCTTGTTATTTTGAATAAAATGAGGGCATGAAATTGTCATACTCATTTATGTACACCTAATTCCCTTCTCCTCTTAATCCATTCAGACATTTTTAAATTTACGTTTTTAGAGCAGTTTCAGATTTACCCTAAAATCTAAAAGCTATGAGATTCCCATGTTTCCTCTGTCCTGACAAATACATAGCTCCCCCATTATCAACAAACCCCCAGTGAAAGTAGTACGTTTGTTTTAATTAATGAACCTACCTTGTTGACACATCACCCAGAGTTCATAGTTTACATTAGAGTTAATTTACTCTTGATGTTATATATACTGTGAGTTTGGATAAACATAATTTCCACTATTAAAGTATGTAGTGTGTTCAAAAATTTTGTGTCGTGTCTTATCATTCTTTTCCTTTCTTTCCTTTCCCCACCTCTGACAATTACTGATCTTTTATCATCTCCATACTTTTGTCTTTGCACAATGTCATATAGTTGGAATCATAGAGTATGTAGCCTTTTCCTACTGGTTTCTTTTGTTTAGTAATATACATTTTATGTCTTTTCATGACTTGAGAGCGTGTGTATTTTCAGTGCTGAATAATAACTTCCTGGATGTAACAATTTATATATCCATTTACCTACTCATGAGGGACATTTTGATTACTTCTGAATTTTGGCAATTATAAATAAAATTGTTAATTAACGTACGTGTTTAGGTTTTGTATGGACATAAGTTTTTTTTTTTTTGAGAGTTTTTTTATTTTATTTTATTTTTTTTGCTATAGGGCGTGTGCACTTGCCATAAAGACAGAAAGAGAGAGAGACAGAAAGCGAGAAATCACCCCCCTGGGGGGGATGACCATGCTGCAGTCCCTTCTCCTCCATTCTCCTCTTGGGATCTTGGGCACGCATGCACATGTGCCTGGTGTGAGTTTAAGCTGCTGGGTCCGGGACTTGAACTGTGGTTGACTACATGGGAGTCCAGCCACATAGCCATTACGCTAACTGCTGGTCCCTGGACATGAGTTTTTAATTCTGTTGAGTACACAACAAGGGATATGATCGCTGGTTCATGTAGTTAGAGTATGTTTAAAGTATTCTCTATGGCATTTATCTTTCAAGTTACATATGTTTGTGTACTTTTAAGGATAAAGGTATGTCTCATTTTGTTAGAAATTGCCAAATTGTCTTCTAAAGTGGCCTCATCATTTTGCAGTAAATGTATGAATCTTTTTTCCCCCTCCACATCCTTGTCAGAATTTGGCATAATCAGTGTTCTGGATTTTGGCCACTCTAATAGATGTGGTGGTATCCTATTTTTGTTTTGTTTAGTTTTTTCTTTTTTTAAAATTTTATTTAAAATGTACACTTAGTCACTGTATATCATAACAGCATCCAAAATGAATTTTCCTAGCACAAATACACTGTATATTAGTTCAGTCAAAGATATTACCATGCCCATTATTATCAACAGATAATTTTTATTTTTGTGTCCCTTCCATGCTTTTCTTCCTTTTTTCCTCCCTTGATTCCCTCCCTTTCACCTTCCTCCATTTTCCTCCCTCCTCCCACACTGTCTCTAGTATCCACAGTTGCTCTCCATGCTTTTATACATTCCAGTCTTTCAGTTCTTGCCACAGAATACAGATATTCATTATGTATTGAGTGGGGACATATAGAGCCTCTCTTTCATAGTCTGGCTTGCTTCACTTTGTAAATCCTCCATATTCATCCACTTTCTATCAAGTGCCAGAGTCTCTCATGTTGGCACATTTATCCGTAGGGTATATGTGCCGCACTTTTTCAGTTTATGGACATTTGGGTTGGTTTTATGTCTTAGCAATTGTGAATAATGTCACACAGAAGGTCAATGTGCAAGTATTTTGTCAACTTAGTGTATTCCTGTTCTTTGGGTAGATACCCAGGAGTGGAATTGTGGGATCATATAGTAGTTGTATTTGTAAGTCTTTGAGGAACCTCCGTGGTATTACGTTGCTTTAATTTTAACTTATCTGACATGGTGTGAAACATTTTTTTCATATATTCATTTGCTGTGTGTCTGTCTGTTATTTTATCTTTTTTTGAAGAGAGATTTTTGCTATAGGATGTGTTTACTCACTGGAGAGACAGACAGAAACAGAGACAGCATGCGAGAAATCACACCTGTCGCCTCCCTGCCGAGGGAGATGGCCATTCTACAGTCTCTTCTCCTACATTCTCCTCTGAGGATTTTGGGCATGCATGCATGTATGCACATGCGCCTAGCATGAGTTACAAGCTACAGGGTCTGGGACTTGAACCGTGGTAGGTCATGTGGGAGTCCAGTGATGTAACCATTATGCCATCTGCTGGTCCCTCTGTTAAGGTTTTTGGCACATTTAAAAATCTGTTTATTTGTGGTGGTGTTGAGTTGTAAGAGTTCTTTGTGTATTTTGGATAGCAGTCCTTTACCAGGTGTCTTTTTGCGAATATTTTCTTTGGTCTGTGCCTGCCATCTCATACCCTTGACATCGTGTTGCAAAGAACAGATGTTTTTAATTTTAATAAAGTCCATTTCTCAGTTCTTTTATGGATTGGTCCTTTGGTGTTCTATCTAGTCACTGCCACACTTAAGGTCTTTTGGTTTTCTCCTGTTATCTTCTAGGAGTTTTATACTTGTATGTTTTACTTTGGCATTCATGGTCCATATTGAGTTAATTTTTGGGAAGTTACATCATTACTTGTTACTCTTTTGTTGTTCTTTTTTAAAATTTTTTGTCTTTCATTTTTTCCTACCTTTTGTGGTTTTGTTCATTTTATGATTCCATTTTCTTTTCTTAGCATGTGTTAGAATTATTTTTTTCAGTCTTTTATAGCAGTTACTTTACACTTTATAGTATGCTTACAATAACCAGGCCCACTTTCAAATAACACTGTATCACAGGTAGTATGAGTACTTTATAGTAACTTAATAATTCTAATTTCTCTCTCATCCTTTGTATCATTGTTATTTATTTTACTTATATACAAGTACACATTAAGCATTTATATACATAGGTAAATAACTAAACATATATAATGAAATACATTGTTTTGAAAACAATGTTAATATTTTGGAAAATCTTATCTGTTAAATTAAGAATAAGAAAAATTGACCTATCTGTGGTGGTAAGAGCTGCTAAGACACTGTTCTTCAGAGGCTAGGGCTACATGAGAGGCCCATGTGTGAATCTCTATACCAAAGGCTTGGCGTGGTGGCATGTATCTATAGTCCTGGTGATTTGGGGAAGCTGAGGCTAGGGGATTACATACAAGCCTCAGGCTGGCCTGGGCAACATAGTAAGATACTTAAGAGTAGGGAAAAAAACCCCAGAAACTGGGCGTGTCAGTGTTCCTGCTTTTAGTCCCAGCTAAGGTTGAGGCAGGAAAATGTGGTTAGATCCCATCTTTAAAAACAAACAGAAAAAGGAAAAATAGGTTTTTATTATCATTTCTTCTTTCTTTAATGCTTTTTATTTCTTTATGAAGATCAGAGTTTTGAATTATTTTCCTTTCCTAAAAAACAATTATGCATTTCTTAAAAGGCATTTCTATTAGCAATAAATTTTCTTAAAATATTTGTTCTGAGAAAGTATTTATTTCTGCTTCATTTTCTAAAACACCTTTTTTTTGTTTTTCTTTTTTGCTATAGGTTGCATATGCTCACTGGAGAGAGTGGGGAAAGTGAGAAACCACAGTCCCTTTTTTGTCATTCTCTCAGCATTTTGGGTACACATACATACACACCCAGAGAGTTTTTCAAGCTGCTTGGTCTAGGACTCAAAGCATGGGTTGACCATGTGGGATATAATGCCTTACTCTCCATAGCACCTACTGGCCTTCTAAAATGCTTGTCAATTTGAGAGAGAGAGAGACAAGCAAACTCAATGGGATCTCAATCAGCCATCTTGGGCATGCACACATGCACATGAGTTGGACTGGTTGATCTGGAAACTAAACCCTGACCTTCCATTTAGTTTCTAGCATTGCAGAGTTCTCTGTTACCTTGTGCCAACAGTGGCTGAGCCTCTTTCAGTTTTGAAGGATAATTTTGCAAGGTACAGAGTTTTAGGATTGTGCAGTTTTTTTTTAGTCCATATTTTAAGTTATTTCGCTCTACACTATACTTGCTTGCTAGATATCTGAGAAGTCAGATGTAATTCTTACCTCTGTAGGTAAGGTGCTTTCTCTTCTACTCATTGGTTGCTTATAGGATTTTTTAAAAAAAAATTTCTGTAGTTTGAAAATGTTATGCCTAGGAATAGTGTTTGTTGGCATTTATCCTGCCTGGAATTTTCTGAGCTTTCTGGATTGTACTTTGGGTCTGATGTTAATTTTAGGGGAAATTCTCAGTTATTAGTATTTCAAATATTTTTCTGTTCCTTTCTGTTCTCATTCTGATATTGCTGTTTTGCATATATTGTCCCTTTTGTAGTTGTCACACAGTCCTTGGATGTTTTGTTTTTGTGCTTTCTGCTTTTCAATTTTGGAGGTTTTCTCAAGCACAAGATTGTTTCCTCAGCCATGTATAATCTACCAGTAAGCCCAATAGAGGCCTTCTTCATTTTTGTTGTTGTTTTTTTTTTTTTTAATCTTTGATTTCCTTTTAGCTGTTTCTTAGGATTTCCATCTCTTTGTTTATGTTGTTCATATATTGTGGTGTGCTGTCTACTTCATCCATTATCGCCTATCTGTTATAGCCCGTAGCATATTATTCATTGTTATTTTAAAGTCCTGGGGTGGTAGTTCCAAAATCTCTGGCATGTCTGCTTATGATGCTTGCTCTGTCTCTTCAATTTTTAAATTTATTTTTTTGCCTTTTAGTGTGCCTTGTAATTTTTTCTTGATAGCCAGACATGATGTGCCAGGTATAAGGATCTATTGTAAATAGGCCTTTGGTATGTGGAAATAAGGGGTGGGTCAGGGGAAGCTTTCTATATTTCTGTGATTAAGTTTCATGCCTTAGGGAGCTTGTACCTTCTATTGCATTTAAGATGTATTTTTCAGGCCCCTCCCTTAACTTATATGGAAAGGATGGCTAGAGCTGGCCTGAGTTGACTATTTCATTCCCCTTATTCAGTCTCATAAAACCCCAGCTGGTTTGGTTCTTATTAACAAGACCTGCCCTCAGGTGAAACTAGTTAAGAACAAAGTTCTCTAGAATATTTCAAATTATTCCTTTTGCCCTCTCTTGCTGGAAGGACCAGGGCATTTTTCATTGATATTTACTGTTGGCGACCTGATTGAGTTTCTGACAGTAAAACTCAAAGAAGTGTGGAGGACTTGTCTATGGGTGGGTTCTCCTGGAGCTTTTATTCTCAGATTTGCCCACACTGAGCCCCCAACAGTTTACCAGTTAGAATTCACGTTTTCCTACTCAGCCATTCAATTTCTACTCTGGTAAGCTATGACTCCTTGTATCCACTTCCTTGTCTCTCCTGTCTTGGGGTTTGTAGTTTGTCCTGTGTCCTCAGGATCCAGGAATGAATCCAAGAAGAGTCGTTGCTTTTTCTTTCTATTTAGCTTTTTTTTTTTTTTTTTTTTTAAGTTTAATTGACATAGAATTGTACATATTTATGGGATAACCGAGTTCATTAATGGATGAATAAAGAATGTGTGGGTATACATGAACACAACAGAGTACCAAGACAAAAAAGAATGAAATCCTATCATTTGCAGTTATAGGAAATTTCATTAAATGCAGTAAGTTGGGTACAAAAAGACTAATCTGCATGATCTTACTTATGTTTAGCTTTTCATTTGTTAAAGGTGGAATGACAGCCTCTAAGCTTCTTACATGGAGTACTAGACATCAGAAGTTTGGCTATTGCTTTGACCTGTTTTATAAACAACTATGTCAAAAGACCATTGGTAGAGAAAAGAGATGGAAAAAATTGGTAACTTTAGGAATCAGTGATGGTTGAAAGATTTAAACCTCATGGATAAAATTATTTTTAGGGTTTTCTGTCGATTTCAGAGGATTCTGCTGTCTTGTTATTGAGGATGTGTAGACTGAGCATGAATGAATTCTGTTGACAGTTCACTTATATTAGGGCCATAAAAACTTGGGTTTGATTTGCCTAAAAATAATTTGGAGGTTAGTTAGATGGAAGACTGGTTGAAGATGTAGAAGAAGCAGAATTGGCCATGAGTTGAATTTTTGAGTCTGAATGTTTTCTACCTTTGTATGTTCCAAAATACTTGATTAAAGAAAAAGTAAAAGCAACGTTACTCATGAACACCCATTACCACACCAGCCTTTCAGGATCACAGTAGTTCAGTCTAAAATTGTGGAAACAGTGGGATCTTAATATAGGACTATTTGGTGAAACCTAAACCCTTGTAAGAATTTTTCTTTGTAGAGCCTGCCTGGGCAGTTAAGTAATATCTGTTATATTATGTCCAATTTCTAAGTAGGGAAATAAGTATTTTTATTTCTTAGCTACTTGTTTATTAACTTCAAATTGATTTTATGATATTTGAAAATGGAAACATTTATGAAAATGTCATTAGATTTCATTTGTTACATTTCATTGACAATTCATCTTCTGTAGGGAGGCTACTCTGTATCTTTATAGACTTAAGAAATAACCGAAAGGTAATTGTGTTATTAATGTAAGTATCTTTCACTTACTGGGTATGAGATGTTTAAAGAATGTCTGATACTATTTTTTTCCCTCTTGTATTCGTAATATGCAACGGAATCAGATTTATGTCTGGTGTAATTTGGCCTAATATGGCTTATAGATGAGAAATAATGTCATACATTTAAAAGTAATACCATTATCAGTCCCTAAAATTGAGATGTCTTAGTTTAACCTTTATCTTTTTGTTATAAAGAATCAATCCAGAAAAGCTTATAGATGTCCAGAAAAAACTGGAATCCTTTCTAGCCCAAGATCAAGATTTAAAAGAAAGAGCTCAAAGGGTAAGTCATGTCTCAGCACTAGAAGTCCAATGCACTGCACTATCCATTGCCCAACAGGGGTAAGTCATTTTTGAATTAGATAATTTCTTTTTTTTTTGGAGAGTTGTTTTTTTTTTTTTTTTTGCTATAGGGCGCGTGCGCTCGCCAGACAGACAGAGAGACAGACAGAGAGACAGAAAGCGAGAAATCACTCCCTGGGGGGATGGCCACACCGCAATCCCTTCTCCTCCATTCTCCTCTCGGGATCTTGGACACGCATGCACACGTACCCGGCGTGAGTTTAAGCCACCGGGTCCAGGACTCGAACCGCGGTCGATTACGTGGGAGTCTAGCGACATAGCCATTACGCTAACTACTGGTCCCATAATTTCTTGAAAGTGAAATATGCAATACAATTTAATTTAATCATTTTGGGGACTATTTTAGGTTGCCTGGTTATGCTTCAGATATTTAAGCAGTGTAATTTTCAGATAAGGCAAGCTTATTCCTTAAGTTAAAAAAAAAAATGTACTTCTTTGTTTTTGGAGAGGTTTTCGCCATAGTGGTGTGCACTTGCCAGACAGAGACAGAGAGACAGAAAGCGAGAAATCACTCCCTGGGGGGATGGCCACACCGCAATCCCTTCTCCTCCATTCTCCTCTTGGGATCTTAGGCACGCATGCACATGTGCCCGGCGTGAGTTTTAAGCCACCGAGTCTGGGACGTGAACCGTGGTCGACTACATGGGAATCCAGCGATGTAGCCGTTATGCTAACTGCTGGTCTCCCCAAAAATGTATTTCTTATAGTAACCTGGAAAAATCTGTTATTATTGGTAGTCTTATCAGAGGCTTATGGAAAATCTTCTGAAAAATGATTTTTAGATGTATAGTAGTCTGATTTCTAGTATACTTGATAAAGTTATCAACTTATTTCTTCAGTCAATTGTCTATAATTCCTGAGTGTACTTTCTTGATTGTGTGATTAGTATCTCTCTGTATTAAGTTAAATTTCTAGAAAGCATAGAACACTTGCTACATTATCTTTAGGGATGAAATTTTAATCTATAAATATGACTTAATGTTTCCAAATTGCTTTTTTAAATTTAAAAATCTTGATTAGCAAGCACACAAGGAAATTTTTATTTTACTTTTCTTAATTGACAAATTCTGTTTATAGTATATAGTATGTTTTGTAATATGTACATGTTATGGAAGGGCAAAATCAAGCTGTGGCATATGAATACCTCATTTACCAATTATTTGTGGTAAGAGGAGTCACTTTTAGTTAAATTTATTTTTATTTTTTTAAAGAGTGTCTTATAGATTATAAATGAAGATGTGATGGGCCAGCAGATAACACAATACTTACATCACTGGACTCCCACCTAGTTGAACAGTTTGAGTCTCAGACCTGGTAGCTTAAAACTCACGCTGGGGACCAGCATTTGGCTTAATGGCTATGTTGATAGACTCCCATGTAGTCGACCGTGGTTCGAGTCCTGGACCTGGTAGCTTAAACTCACGCCGGGTGTGTGTGTATGCGTGCTCAAGATCCCAAGAGGAGAATAAAGGAGAAGGGATTGCGGCATGGCCATCCCCCCTGTGGGGTGATTTCTTGCTTTCTATCTCTCTGTCTTTCTGGCAAGCACATGTACCCTATAGCAATAACCTCTTAAAAAAAAAACCCGAAAAACAAAAAAAAACAAAACTCACGCTGGGTGTGTATACATGCATGCCCAAAATCCCAAGAGGAAAATGGAGAAGGGATTGTGGCACGGCCATCTGCCCTAGGTGATTTCTCGCTTTCTATCTCTCTGTTGAGTACATGTGCTCTAATAGCAAAAATCGCTCAAAAAAGAAGAAAAAAGAAAACAGATGAGAAATGACTGTGCATTGTGCTTTCCAGTTTGTTCAGTCTTTAAAATAACAAATATTTGAGTCCCTATTATGAAGCTATTCATTTTCACTAGTTTTCTTACCTTTGCATATTGTATGATCTTTGCATCTCCCACGGCACATCAACAGTATGCTAAAGAGTTAGGGATTCAGAGATTCATTTCTCTTTGAGCAGAGAGATGATGTGGGAGGAAGAAAATAGAGAAGATACATGGACTAATTTGAGCAGGACATTAAGTAGTCAGGCTTTTATATTGTGGTTTTGAAAATGGGCATTTCCAGCAAAGAAGTAGGTTTCATAGCAAGAGAAAATCTTAATTTTTTTGTCAGCCTAAAAAATATTTTGGTAAATTATTGTTGCTGTACTTTAAAATAACAGTATTGATGAATGTGAAGGTTTGAGTGATTACTATGCACCAGGCACTTAGTCATTACATGACTGATTTGTCACTTTTATATGCACTGCTATTAAATCTTCCCAACAACCTTTAAGTTAGGTGGTATTGACTTATTTTACAGATGACGAGATGCTGTCTTGAGAAAAATAAAAATTGTCTAGCTTCACATAACTATTAAGTGGTAGACCTGATATGCAAATCCAGATCTGACTTCTAGAGCTGCCATGTGACATGAAGAGAAATTAATTTCAAAATATGAGAAAGCCAAATGGTGATCTATGCAGAAGTGGACTTCTGTAAGCTCACTATACCTGAAATCCAGTGAAAGTATCTTTGAACAAATTGTTGATTATTTTTTCTTAAAATTTTTGGGTATATGAACATTGGTGTACATCTTTTGTACAGCATACAAACTTCAAGTTAGGGGTTAAAATCTTTTTTAAAAGAACTAATTAATTAATTATTTTTCAGAGAGGTTTTTGCTATAGGGCACATGTGCTCGCCATAAAGACAGAGAGAGACAGAAAGTGCGAAATCACCCCCCAGGGGGGATGGTCATGCCACAATCCCTTCTCTTCCATTCTCCCCTCGGGATCTTGGGCACGCACGCACACATGTCCGGTGTGAGTTTAAGCCGCCAGGTCCGGGACTCGAACTGTGGTCGACTACAAAGGAGTCCAGTGAAATAGACATTATGCCAACTGCTGGTTCCAAGAATTATTTATTATTTTTAAGAGTGATTTTTGCTATAGAGTGCATGGGCTTGCTGGAGAGTCAGAGAGAAAGAAAGTGAGAAATCACCCCCTTGGAGGGATGGCCATGCTGCAATCCCTTTTCCTCCATTCTCCTTTTGGGACTTCGGGCACACATGCACAGGTACCCAGCATGTGCATGTACCAGCATGTACCATGTGTTTAAGCCATTGGGTCTGGGACTTGAATTGTGATTGATTATGTGGGAGTCCAATGATGTAATCATTATGCCATCTGCTGGTCCCGGAATTATTTATTTTATTTATTTTTTGAAATTTGCTATAGGGCATGTTCACTCACCACACAGAGACAGAGAGAGTGGAGGAGAGAGAGGGAAAGTGAGAAAGTAATCCACTAGGTACAGGACTGGAACTGTGGTTAACCATGCAGGAAATCAGCCCCTTAACCACCATGCTACCTGCTAGCCCCAACTGGGAGTTAAAATTTTTAGAATCATTATAAATAGCACATACACTAAAAAATAATATATATGAATTCTGATGCATCTTGCCTTACTGCATATGTAGGAGGTCATTCAGTTATTAATTAGGAAACATGAGACATTGGAAGGATGTTTCACTGGTTTGTACATACAACAAAATGAACCTTCCAGAACAAAGATGATAGAATAGCACATTGAAATAAATGATGTGATTTATCGGGTGTCACGCATGGTTTAGCAGAGTGGCTAACTGTTTGCCAGCAGCAGCAAGCTATCTAGTTTCATAGAAGCTATTTTCTAGCTTTTGATTGTTATCTGGATAGAATCAAAATAATAACCAACTGGGATGACTTTTTTTTTTTTTTTTTTTTTTTAGGACAGTTGTAGGGGAGAAAGTTATCCTTGAACTGGTGCCGTTTGTTGTTTTTCATGGGTGTGGAGACAAGAGAAAATGGTTCAGAGATTAGTTTGGTAGAAAGGATTAGTGAAAGCTAGAGAAAATGGGAAGTTTAGGCAATATGGAAATGGGAATTTACAGAAATGTCAAATTTCATAGGAAAAATAATTACTTAGATGTTGTGATACCTGTTTACTTTACCAATGGACAGAGAATTGGGATCATGTTTACTTTCTGATTTGTGTAGCTCTGCCATTAAAATAGTTAAAAATTTAAAAAAATTCTTCTGTTCTCTTTTAAGCAGAAGAAAAATATTTCAAGTTGATGACAAATGTTCTACTTTTTATCCTCTTATTTTACAGTGTTTTGTCTCCTACATACGTTCAGTGTATCTGATGAAGGATAAAGAAATATTTGATGTGAACAAGTTACCTATACCTGAATATGCCCTGTAAGTATTCATAATATGTTGTAATAATCATTTTTTAGCTTTCATTCATGCTGATAAAGACCTAATCCTTAATTGAATCTTGATCTTAGATGGAGAAAACAAGATTTCCTTTTTTTTTTTTTTTTTCCATTTTTGGAGAGGTTTTTGCTATAGGGCACGTGCATTCCCCAGAAAGACAGAGACAGAGAGACAGAAAGCGAGAAATCATCCCCCAGGGGGGATGGCTATGCTGCTATCCCTCCTCCTCCATTCTCCTCTCAGGATCTTGGGCATGCACACGCACACTCGCCTGGTGTGAATTTAAGCCATGGGGTCCAGGACTCGAACTGCAGTCACAGGAGTCAGTGACATAGTCATTACGCTAACTGCTGGTCCCCAAGATTTTCTTTTTTGTCTTTGGTTTATAAAAATCCCTTTATAGCAGTGATGAGACAATGACAGTCCAGTTGAATCTTTACAGACAGTTATGTTTTATCCTTTCATGGCCATGTCATTTCCAGTTTATTTAGTACTTAGACTTTATATAATACTTCCATATGGTTAATTGCATCTTTGTAACAACTGTGAGATAGGCCTGAAGGTATTAACTCATATTATGAGAAAGCTGAGGTTGAAGCAATTGAATTGGAAATTCGTGGGTCTAGTACTTGACCTGTTATTTTGTTTCTGATCTAGTGCTTTTTATTTTATAAGCTATTACTCTCTAAAAGAAAAACCAGATGTCTAAAATGTTTTCTGATGAGTATTCAGTGTATTTTGCCTTGCCTTTCAGGTCATCCAACCTGTGAGTATTGACTTGTAGTTCACAGAAACATTTTTTTATTAAAAAACCCTAGAAATAAATCTCTACCCTTGAGAAACTGTTTCATAATGCCCATAAATATACAAGCAGTGTGTTGAGATAATCACTTTCATTTTTCCCCTATTTAAGGTCTCTTGGCCTTGCAGTGGCACCACGGATAAGATTCCTTCAGAAAATGCAGAAAGAACCCACCAAAGAATTAATAGTGAGCAAAGTCAATAAAGTAATTGAACCAAGGGCTCCTTCCCTTACCAATGATGAAGTGGAAGAATTTAGAGCCTATTTCAGTGAGAAGATGTCCATCCTTCAGAAAGGTGGGAAAAAACTAGAAGGGACAGAATACAGACTGACTAATGTTAGTGATGAAGATCAGGAGGAAGAGGAAGACAGTGAGGAGGAAATGGAAGAGAAACTGGGAAAAACAAAAGCATCTCAAACTCAATCTGTTTCTAATACTGTTGAGGCCCAGAAGACCAAGGAGATTCCTATGCAGTTTATGGACAGAGATAAGGAAGATGATGATGAACCTGATGCTGATTTCCTTAAGGTCAAGAGGCACAATGTGTTTGGGTTAGACCTCAAAGAGAATAAAGCATTACAGGTGAGTTTATTCCCATTTGAAGATCTTCTGTTAGGTTGCTTTTTACTCTGTGCTAGTTGGTGCTTTTTGGGGACTTAAAAAGAAAGAACTTAGAATGACTTTCTTTGGAGTGAACTTCTTCTCCCTTTCCCCATATTAAAATAAAGAACAAGTGCCAGAGAATTCTCATGCTTTTCATAACTTTAGGAACTCTGAAAGGCTGACAGGTTTTATCTGTTGGTTATCTGAAGTATATACTTTGTTTTGTGTTTATCTTTTACATTTTATAGTTACTTAGAAATAGACTGATGGGTGATTCCATTTTAGCACAGCAGGTTTCCTTGTAAAGCTTTCTTAATAGCAAACAGGCCAGTTTAAGATTTGAATGATAGCCATAAATTACGCTTTTTAACTTAGAATTGATTGTGGATCATGTTTACATCCTTGAGTCTTATTTTATATATATATATTTTTTGGAGAGGCTTTTTGCTATAGGACACGTGTGCTCGCCTGAAAGACAGACACAGAGGACAGAAAGTGAGAAATCACCCCCAGGAGGGATGGGCACGCCACAGTCCCTTCTCCTCCGTTCTCCTCTTGGGATCTTGGGCACGCACGCACACGTGCCCTGTGTGAGTTTAAACCACCCAGTCCAGGACTCAAACCACGGTCGACTACAAGGAAGTCAAGCAAGGTAGCCATTATGCCATCTGCTGGTCCTGAGTCTTACTTTTTTTTTTTTAATAGCATTTTTTGAAGTTGATCCATTTATCGAGAGAGAGAGAGAAAAAAACCAAAAAACCAAAAAACAGTCACTCTCAACAGGGTCACTTGCCGTAATCCACTTTCCAGATTTTCCTAGCCAGTCAGGGTAACAGGCACGTGTGCACTCATGTGTACAGATTGACTCAAGACCTGAACCCTGATCTTCCGTATGGCTTCCAGCTTTGCAGATTGTTGTGCTACTGCTGTATCAAGGTGGTTGGTCTTTTTATTTTTACATTTTTATTTTATTTTTTTGGAGAGGTTTTTGCTATAGGGTGCATGTGCTCACCAGAAAGATGGAGAGACAGGAAGCGAGAAATCATCCCCCAGGGGGATAGCCACGCTGCAATCTCTTCTTCATCTTTCTCTTGGGATCTTGCGCATGCATGCACACACACCTGGTGTGAGTTTAAGCCACTGGGTCTGGGTCTCAAACCATGGTCGACTACATGGGAGTTCAGGGACATAGCCATTATGCCAACTGCTAGTCCTTATTTTTACTTTTTTTTAAAGCAGGGTCTCTGTATTGTAGTCATTCTGTTTCAGCTTCCTGAATGGCTGGGAGTAAAGGCATGTGTCACTGTGTCCAGCTGTTAGAGTGGGCCAGGAGTCAAACCTGGGCCTCTACATGACTTTTGCTTGTCAAGTAGCAGTGTGAACCAGCATGTGTTACCTTGGCTTGGCCTCTTTTTTTCTTTTTTTAGTATTGTAAGAACTTGCTGTTGGTGTTAGAGCATAGATTAGCTAACTTGCAGCTTAGTTATTCGTATACTCTTACAAAAATATCCCAGGTTCCAAATCAAGATTCTGATAGATGGGAGCCAGGATTTTTCTGTGTCTTGTCTCTTCTCCTTTTTTCTTCATTCTTCTTTTTCTATCCTTTCCTCTTTTTTCTTTTCTTCAAGCAGCAGTTATTGAGTACCTTATAGGTTTCCAGCACTTTGCTAGATACTTAATGACTACCTTATACTTTAAGATAGTAGACTTATAAATTAATATCAGTACAGAATCATGACTTTGTATTAATTTATTCAACCAAATTTTAAAGCTCAAATATGGACATCATATTAGAGAAGATATCCTGAAAGAAGTTGAGCAATAGAGAATGAATAGGAGAATTAATAAGGAGAATAAAACATTCTAAATGAAGAGTACAGAATGAGCAAAACCATGGCAACAAGGAGTATGTTGAGTATGGAGAGTTATTACTGGCATGCTGCTCCGTGGTTAGTCTCTCTGAGCTTTTGTGGCCGTCTCTGTATAGTGTGGCCAATAACATGTCTATTTTGGAGAGTTATTATGATTAAAAATATAAAGCAGCCAGCGTAGTTTGCATAATTAATAGTAGCTATTATTGTTTTCACGTGATAAAATATAATAACATGGTCCGGGAATGCATGAGATAACTGCTGAAAAATAAGTCCTCTTTCTGCATCAGGACCCACTGTAGAAAGAAAAGGTTATGCATTTATTTCAGCTATAGTATCAAGAACAAACTTACTTTTATGATTAATAGCATAGTTAATTGATAAAACATTTGTCACCTTCTCAATCCAGCATGAACTGAAGAAGGCTAAATCCTGCACTGATATCACAGGTCTGGTTCATGTCACAGCTAAACACTTACTGAGCAATGTTATGTGTGTAGCATTGTGTGACAAACACACTGTCTGCATTAAGGCTCATTAATAATTTGATCATATAATCAGACCTTAACAAGGCAAGTACAGGGTCCTGTAGAAGTATACTGATTGCTTATAAATAGGATGAAAAGTGTTTTTAATGGTAGATATTTATTTCATGTGGAGTCATTAAATGAAATTCATTATTGGTGGGTAGAGTACTTTGTCTAGTTAACTGGCAGTATTCTTGTTATTAATATTATGCAGTGTATTTCTAAAAACTCTTCTATAGAAGACATAGGTTATAGGTATTGCTTATACTCTTTAAGACTAAATTTAAAAATAAACATGAGGGGGGGCCAGCAGGTCGTGTGGTGGTTAAGGTGCTGGACACTCCCACATGGCTGACCACAGTTCAAGTCCTGGACCTGGTGGCTTACCTCCTGTCTCTCTGTCTCTCTCTGGTCAAATTAAAAAATGAATGAATAAATAAAATTAAATAAATAATTAAAAAAAAACATGAGAGAAAGAGTAATGTCCTTGTTAGTGGAGTGGTTGGCATATTGATGAATTGTTTTAGGACACTACTGGTTTACTTTTTTTTTTTTTTTTAAATCCCCATAGTTATTTGACTTAAAATGAGAATGAAATGAGAATGAACCATACTAGTTTATTTCCAGTAATTTCTTACAGCTCTGTTTTTTGTGAAAGAAGTATTGGGGAGTTCTTAACATCTGCCAGTTATCTTTAACCTGCCGTGCCCTTTGAATAATGCATTTCATTTATTTAGACTTACCATAACTTTGTACAGTGTTGCATCCATTTTACAAGTTAGGAAACAGAGGTTTTGGGTTGGCTCAGTAGCACAGCAGTAACGTACTGCTCAAGTGATGCTGGATCCACATGGAAGACTGCGTTTGGTTCTCTAGTTGGTCTGTACACACACCAGGTGTGCACGCCCAGGATCTTGGCTGGTTGGTAAGGTTAGTTGGGGCTTGTGGCATGAGGCCCTGCTGAGAGTGCTTATCTTGGTCTTTCTCTGTTTCTCACTCTCATGATAGGGAAAAAGAAAATGGAAAAGAAAGGAGCTTTGAGGGGTTCAGTTACTTATTGTTTGCCTAATGTTCCATAATTAGTTAAGTAGATGACGTAGATGTAGACTCATCTGACTGCCTCAATATGATTATGCTTTTTTTTTTTTTTTTGGGAGAGGTTTTTTCACTGTAGGGCACGTGCGCTCGCCAGACAGACAGAGAGAGACAAAGAGACAGAAAGCGAGAAATCATCCCCCAGGGGGGATGGTCACGCCGCAGTCCCTTCTCCTCCATTCTCCTCTCGGGATCTTGGCACGCACGCACACGCGCCCGGCATGAGTTTTAAGCCACCGGGTCCGGGACGCGAACCGCAGTCAACTACGTGGGAGTCCAGCAACATAGCCATTACACTAACTGCTGGTTCCCGATTGTGCTTTAAAAAAAAAAATCCTGTCTTTTCTACATTTAATAGGGTCTTTTACTGTTACTTTTTACTTCCCACTAGCACTGCCACTTTTCGGTCCCCAGACCCTTGTCCATACTTGGCTTAAAAGATAAGCTTTATAGTCTGTCCTCAGTGGTGTTCTGAGTCATCTTCCTGTGAATCTTAGTCAGATTTGTATTTTTCTTTTTAAGAGGTTGATGATCCATGCTTCCGTTTAGTTCTTTTTTCGATTGTCCTTTGTAAGCTAAGCCTCTACCCTATTATTCTTTCATTGTGAATTTCTGTATGCACTGAAAGATTCCTTCCTAGATTATTCTCTTGCCACTACAGTATTTCATATCTTGGCTGCCCTTCAGGAGTTAGTGCTGATCTTTTATTTGAAGTCATCTTTTACTTCTTCAGCCTACTGACCCCTGGTTTCTAATTGTCTATTTTGCTAATTTTTTTTATTTGTAATCACATGAATCTCCCAATTTGTTTCTTCTATACTTGTTGATTATTGAGTTTCTCATAACGTTTGTAGTGAAGGGACTCATAAAATGTTCAGTTGAATTAAGCAGTAAAAAAAACTCTTTAAAATAAAATTGGAATTGACATTGGTACCATGAAGAGTAACAATGGTAGGAAGATCTCAAATAGAGTTGTTACATATACCCATTTTCCTTCTTATGGGGCCCTTTTTCTTGCATCCTGTGCTTAATTCTTGAGTTGCAATTTAAGCTTCCTTCCAATTCAATCAAAATATTGGGTTGTTGAAAAAGCCATAATATCTATTTTTTGTGTTTTTCTATGCAAAAATGAGTTATGACTTTTCTGACGACCCAGTAGTTACTGTGTGACTAGAAGTTTAGGTGTACTTACTGAGCTGATACACACACTCACACACACACACATATGTTTTTATTTCCCTATTTGGGTTTTGTATGCAAATGATTTCCTGAATATAAATTCACAGGGGAAAGCTGAAACCTGTTTTTGGCTTGATATTTATTCTTTAACATTCTTGATTATTATTGTATCAAAAATATTGACTCTGTTTCCCACTTTTGTACAGTATCCAGTATTTAAAATACCAGCTGACTATCGAATTTTCTAATGACCTACTTTTATGGTATAATGTTCAGAAGTAACACTTAGAGAGTATGTTTATCTTTA